AATAGAAAGGCAGAAATAGATTTTGCTTAAAATTCGTAAAGAGCATGAAACGTTCATTGACAGACTGAACGAAGGAAAGTCTATTTAAACAAGACGAACGTGCTCAGGAGTATATTTATAATTCCATACTTCTGTAAATTAGTGGATTATTTTTGTGTGCTTCGAATGATCAGAGAAGACGTTAACGTCTGCCTTCTTGGATAGACAAGTGTTCTATAAAGTGTTTAATACTCGTGTACAATGATACTCATCTTTAGTCGCATACACACATATAACATGCAAATGACTATAAAAAGTATTTACATACCATTGTATTTATTATGTTATACGCATTACTCTGCTTCCATTATTAATTAATCAAGTTCAAGCATATGAAATTTCGCACCATTCAATGAAGATGGAAGATAAAATTGAATTTGAAAAAAAAACATTTCATTGAAAAATAAAGGTACGTGCAAGTAATTTTTCTAGCAACTGCACGAAGCTCAGATACAATATTCAAACACGAATCGGTAAAATAATGAAACAATAATACAAACATAAGTACACTGGACAATTATAAATTTATATTTTAGAAGGAAAACAATATTTTCATTTAATTTATTAATTCAATTAATAAGATTTCAAATGCAGAGCACATCGTCTGAACAGTCACTGATACGTCTGATCCCTGAAGAAATCACGACACACAGTATCAACACGCTAGAATAAAAGAAATTTCACTGATATTTCAGAAGGAAAACAGTATTCCCATTTAATTTGCCAGCGTGTGAAATTCCATGATTCAAACAGATAGTCAATGACAGTTTGTGACTTTTTTATATTTCAAGAGAAAAGCAATAACACCAATTTATTCGCATGGAACAGACGCGTCATCTAAGCAGGCAATGACGTCTGATTTTTGTCTCTGAAGAAATCACGACACACAGTATCAACAGGCTAGAATAAAAGAAATTTCACTGATATTTCAGAAGGAAAACAGTATTCCCATTTAATTTGCCAGCGTGTGAAATTCCATGATTCAAACAGATAGTCAATGACAGTTTGTGACTTTTTTATATTTCAAGAGAAAAGCAATAACACCAATTTATTCGCATGGAACAGACGCGTCATCTAAGCAGGCAATGACGTCTGATTTTCGTCGTGACGTCACAGTATGTATATCCTTGAAAGAGGCGCTATTATAGCCGGTTAAGCCTACGCTCTAGGCCAGGGGCTAGGCTAGACTATTTCCGCTATTCAGCTTATGGACTAAAATAGTCCTAGAGAGCTTTCGAACGAGAAGCTGCTGGGATCTTTAATGTCCCTCCGCCAGAGAAAGATCAGTTCACCTCCTCCACTTCAACCGAATCTCTTCAATTCTTTACCTATGATATTTCAAAAGTAATACATTTTATGGTCAATGATACTTCCACCCGTTTCCTTTTTTCATAACTTAATACTTGGCCTAATGAATAGAAACGAAAGTTTAACAAGCTTTAAACAATTTGCTAAAATTAGAAATTAATATTCATCCATTGATTCTATCCTTCTCCTTTCTAATACTAAAACTACCAAAATTTGATGATAAAATTTTACAATAGTTTTGCTGATTTAGAATGTTGCGTTTTTAGAGATTTGAATGATTTTTGTGAAATACACGAATAAACGTTTTGCCTTCTTTATTGTATTATAAAGTTTTCGCTATTCCTCGCACTCTAATTTCTCTGATATAATTCTTATACTAGTCGTCGATAGTTCTAGTGTGAATGCTCGCTAAAATCTAAAAATCCGAATGAGCATCATCTTAAATATATATTTATTCAGTCTCTGATAAACTAATTATTTTAAGCATTATCTTCAGATTACTATTTATACGTTATATATCTTAATAATAAAGATTTCTAAATCAGTCATGAATAATTAAATTACTAACGCTGGGAATCAATGTTTCTGCATAAGAATTCTAATTTTCTTACACAGAGGCAGACGATTTTTTGCCAATTTTTCTTACAAAAAAGAAGAGCGCCCAATTTTCTGCAGTTGCTTCCCCATTTCCAAAGAACGAACAATGTCAATGTCTTGAACGATAAACAGTTCATTGTCAGGTTCGACAAAGTCAATATTTAATATTTAAAGCTCGATGAAATGGTGAAAAATGTATTCCATTAAAGGGAAAAAAATCCCTTCATATTTCTACAGAAATGGATTTTTGAACTTTTATAATTTTCAAGAGTAAAAGTATCCTTATTTTCCATCCGCTACATAATGCATAATCATGCTTGAAAAAAAAAAAAAAAAAAAAAAATAGAGACTTTATGCGTTAAAATAAGGTCAAACGAATCGTTGTATGGTCATTCATTACGAAGTTTAAATTATCGGGAATTTTTCGTCGTTATTGGTTCAATTACGTTCTTCGTTGCAGCTTTTAGTGGCACGCAAAATGCATAAAATAGCGTGTCCTTGGAATAATTATTTTGCACAATCTCTTCTGAAATCAATTATTTATTACTCCACGGGGCCAAGCGAATTTTTGTCACTTTTT